ACAAGAACAGTGAACCAAACGTGCAGCTTCTTCAAACCTCTCAATTCTGCCAGCTGATCCAATTCAATACAAGACACTATCACGCACTTTGCTAATACTATCTCCTATCACCTTTAACCCTTCTTGCACAATTAAATTTAAAATATGTGCAGTACAACGCACATGAAATACTCGACCAGTCAACAACAAATCTTTTTTATTAAGTTTCTCATCCAATAAAGTTTTAATCATAGCATTGTTTGTGCTAGAATTATCAACTGTGATAGTTGATATTTTTCGTTCAAGATTCCAATCAAACAAACAATTAACCAAAGCACCACACAAAGCATCTTTATCATGTGGAGCAGGGACATAAGCAAATCTCAGAATATGACTTTGAAGCCTCCATGAATCATCAATGAAATGACCAGTAATAGCCATGAACCCTTTTTTGTTACTATTGGAAGTCCACATATCGGTTGTTATTGCAATTCTACTCGTGACTTTCTCCAACAACTTAGAAGTTTGCGATTTCAAATTGTCAAAAAATTTCATTATGTCATTCTTGATTGTATTTCTAGAAACCATCTTAAACATAGGTTGGAGACTCGCAACAAAGTTTCTAAATCCCACATGATCAACTATAGAGAGTGGATACTCGTGTAAAATAATGGCATGTGCAAGTTGTTTACGTGAAACATCTTGATCAAAATAACTACCCCCGGTATCACCCTCATTTTGTACATCTCTTGGCCTGTTAGGACACTTAGGTATGTGATCTAACATATATTTTGTCCCACAATTCCTGGCATTTTTATATCGGCGATCGCAATACTTACAAAGACCATATGAAACACCATTAACCTTCACCGGCTTGAAATACTTCCATGCTCGGGAATATCTTCTTTTCCCCAGTTCAACTTCATCTTGTTGTAAAGGCCTTTGACTCTCATCGTCTAAGGAAATAGCATTAGAAGATAAAGCTGGTAGATTCTCTTCATTTTGAGATGCCATAATTATCTAGTAAAATAAAAAAAAGAAATATCACTAAAAGCTGAAAAATAGTCATCTAGTATAAAAAGCAGACAAATGTACTAAGCATAAGCTCTTGTAACTCAACAAGACTACCAGGAGGACTTTAAGAAGATCTAGAGCCACAACCTCATGTACTAGCAAGTAACATAATTGGCAGAGGAAGATGAACTAATTTTAAACGGTGTTTAGAATTTGAAAACATAGGTGCAAATTAAACAGTATATCCGTTCTGCAACTAGTAATAGCCCCTAAAATTGCAACACAAAAGAGACATCACCGGTGTGGATAGTTAAACAAGCAGAATGTACATAAACCTCTGAAAAGAACAAAACTATTGTAATACAACTTAGTGGATATTCAATATATTTTCAAGATTATAAGTGTAAATTATCTTGAACTTAGTATCTTCACCATTCTGATCAAAAGAGACATCACCATCCAAAGTTGAAAACTTTCTACTAAACAAGAACAAACAGTAAAGTTGGCGAAAATTAAGAAAAAGTGAAAAACATAGCAATAAACTAAAAATTAAGAGATAAATAAAAATTGTTACAAGAGAAAGAGAAGTTGAAAGCAAGAGAGTGTTACCTCGTAACTTATTGATTTGTTTCCTGTTGGAGAATGGAGATTGAAGTTTGCCTGGAAGAACTCAACTGAAGAAGAAGAGTTTTGGTTTCGTCCTTTACTCCTTTCCTTTGGAAGAGCCGAGGGTTTGATTCAAAGAGGGGATTGGAAAAAAAGAATAAAAATACGCGGGTCACTTATTCTTTACCCGACCCATCTATTAATTCGGATTTTACCCTGCCTTGCCCTAACTTATTAATTTTTTTTAAATATAACATTTTGCCCTGCCCTGCCCTGCCCCGTCCTACCCTACCCTGCCCCAATTGCCATCCCTAGGATTGGTCATCTTACTTGTCTCTTGCTGAATGGTGGTATAATACTACCTACCATTCCTCTATTAAATGCACTCCTTATGAAGTTCTTTATGGTCAGAAACCCCATATACATCTTCCCTACTTAGCTGGTGAAACTGATACTGAAATGGTAGATAGGTCCATAGCAGCTAGAGAAGCTATTCTGTAGCTTTTGAAATGGCATTTGGCAAAAGCTCAATAGAGGATGAAAGACTTGGCCAACAAACACAGAACTGATAGACACTTTAAAGTTGGTGAGTGGGTATATTCGAAAGCCAACATGCCCTTCAATAAGCTAGCAAAGTATTTTGGTCCTTATCCTTTTGAAGCTAAGGTGGGAGCAGTTGCTTATCGCCTACTACTACCAGCTGATGCCTTGATTCATCCCAGATTCCATGTCTCTCAACTTAAAAGGTACTTAATTAGAAGTCCCAAAGGTAATCATCCTCCTGTTGTGCATCTGTCAAGCACCTAGTGTCCTTTGCCTGAAGCTATTCTTGATAGAAGATTGGTTAAGTGAGGGAATAAGGTTGTATATGCCAAGTTCCTGTTAAGTGGACTGGCATTGAAACTGCTCAGGCCACCTGGGAATACCTTTCTGATTTGCAACACAGATTTCCTACCTTTCACCCTTGAGGACAAGGGTGATCTTTTTGCAGGGGGTATTGTTGCAAGATATAGAGTAGAGCTGAGTTGGCAGCTGACTAGTTACGAGTTAGTTAGGCAAAGTCAGTATTAGTTACATAGTTAATTAGGATTAGTTGAAGAGATTTCATTTTAGTGATCCACTTGCATTTGATCCATTTCTTTATATATATTGTAATTCATGTATTGACATTCATTCATAATAATAATAATAATCATTCTCATCTTTCTCTCTTCTAAATTCTCTTCTAAGATAGGAGCTTCTTCTATCTTCGAGCTTAGCTCCTAGATTCTTCGTTGGTTCAGTCTTCAACTGCACCAATTGGATATATATTCTAAAAAATTAAACTAAGGTGACAGAGAATGGCAAAGTCAGTTGCGATCTGAACCATTAATTGTTAGTCAGTCTTGCATTCGTTTTGTTTACTGTACTGCTAATTAATGGAGAGAACAAGAGTAGTAAAAGTATGGATTAGCGTTTTCCCACGCCTATAAATAACATAGGCGCAGTAGCATATGTAGGATGTTTTGCAAGCGGGGTGTCACATTTAAAGAAGGAACAAATAAACTAATTAATATAACATTAATTTTTGTTTTTCCTTTAATAGCTATTGTAAGAAGTTTTGGTTTCAAATCCTGCACACCTGTATTCCATTAATTAAATTTTTTGTGTTATTTGTAATTTGGTAAAAGAATTCGACAGAAGCAATTCGTAGGCATCAAAAAAGTTAATATGAATATTTGCAATGTAATTTCAGAACATAAAAAATAAGCTAATCTAAATTATGCGCCCCTTTTCCTTACCAAAATCTTAAAAGAACCAAACACAATTCAATTGTTAAATATGAAAGAAATTTCGCATTTCTTCGCTTTTGCATCCGAAGATACAATTAACTTCAGTCATCGGTTTAACGTCTAAGAATATGCAAAAATAAATAAATAAACACAGAACACCAGTCTGCTATAATATTAATATGATAACAACATACACCACCTAAATTATATTCCACGGCACAGTCCACTAGCTAAATTATGTGAACAAGCCCAATTCCAATAATGAAAAATCAAAATTGCAAGATCACTGGCTTTTTGTGGTAAGCTTCTACCACTTTTGTTTTCTACAGCCAGCACTTGCACAAATTGTTGAAATAAATGAATAACATAGAGTTCCCTCCTTCCTTTCTTACTCAGACAGCTCTTAAATTAGGGGGGAAAATCTCTACTTTGAAGGCTGAATGACAATATGACTGCACTAATCATATTGGTATTACTAGTAGCCATTCACTGGTTTGGTTGTGATGCCAAATCCAAAGGGAAAGAGGGGATCAACGTGTGCATCGTCAAAGTTCATTGGAAGCTGATCAACTCTCTTGAACCAAGTGCGAGCAAGTTTTCCAGTGAAGCCATAGTCACCAAATAAAGCATCAGCAACACCTTGGCCTTCAGTTCCAGGGAGCCAAGCAGCAACGAGAGCATCCATTTTTGAAACGTAAGGCTCCATAACCACTGGACGACCTGAGACTACGACTACAACACACTTCACTGCTCCACAAACGTTACTGATGGTGCTAGGACCTGGTTCAGCTATTGTGAGATTTGAGCTGTCGCCAAACATCTCTGCATATGGGACTTCACCCACAACCACAATGGCATAGGAGAATTTGTTGGACTTTACGAAGTTCGCATCAGGATTCTGCTGGTACACTACTTGTGTAGAAGGATCAACAGTTTTCTTGATAGCAGTTAGAATGGTAGTTCCTGCAAAGTTTGAAACGCGTATTAATTCCAGTCATTTTTATGATACCATAAAAACAATGTGTTGAGTTCTTTTGATTAATCAGAGAAAGGCTGACACTATTATTTTATTTATAAGACAAACAAAAACAACTGCAGAAGAGACTTGGTGTAAGAGCTATTTAGTAACAGGGAGACTTGGTGAAACAACAACTTTGTGTCAGTGTGTTTTTAGCAATTTATAAATAGTATTTCTTATTTTTGCTTCTCCTTTTCTATCTGAAGTAATGGATAAAAAAATTGCATAGAAATGAGGAGGGGTCACATCTTTCTTAAAAAAGGGAATTTGGATGGTTTCACAAAAACCTGAGTAACAGCACTGTAACAGGAAAATCACATTAAAATAAAGGGATCTTTACAAAAATAACCGGCTGGATTCCTATTTACTTTTTACTTTACCTAGCTGGTATACATATATTATACATTGATTATACACATATTATGCATGAATTAATAAACATTTAATGCATGTTGTCACTGTTCAAACACTTGAGATGGCAGGCAGATAGTATAAATTTTTGCATCATGTCGCAATAGAAATGTTGCCAACTATGCAAAATATGAGTAAACTTACCGACTGTAAGATCGTTGCCAGCAACACCCTGCCATTCAATTGTCCAGCCTCCACATTGGTAACCCAAGTTGTCTGCATGAGTTCCAGTAACAAGTATTTTTGGAGCTTTCTTTGGAAGGGGAAGTAATGGCTGACTAGGCGTTTTGCCATTCTTCAAGAGTACGAGTGATTTCCTTACTGCTTCCCTTGCTAATTCTCTGTGCTCCTATAGAAAGAAAATGAAGCAGGTTAAGTCTTAACACAAACAAGGAAGTGAAAGATTTTTGGAATAACATGTTGACATATTTTACCTTGCTACCTAGTTGGTTTGCCAAGCTAGGGTCAGACATTGGGTTCTCGAAGAGACCCATAACAAATTTAACCCTCAGTATCCGCTTCACAGCATCATCAATTCTGCTCATGGGAATGATATTGGCTTTCACTTGAGAAGTCAAAGTATCGATAAACTCTCTATAATTCTCGGGGACCATAATCTGAAGCGTAGCCAAAATAATTATGGTGAATAAAAAGTGCTATAACATATCAACCATCATTATTTCTTAAGATATATTACAAGGTAAAGTTGATCAAGTACAAAATTATAAGACTAACCATGTCGATTCCTGCCATAATTCCAGCTTGAACTGAATAAGAGTAGTTAGCATGAGGTGGGTCAGTAATCCGGTCAAGCCCTTGCCAATCTGAAATGACGAAGCCCTGAAACATAAAGACCAAAAGAAGGTGGTTATACTGCAATATATCCCAACTTGACTTTAACTGGCAGAATTTTACAATGAAGTGAATTGGTCAGTCTTACCCTGAACTTGAGTTTGTCCTTCAGGAAGCCAGTGACGAGGTCTCGGTTGGCATGCATCTTTCTTCCGTTCCAGCTTGAGTAAGACACCATAACCGTTGCAACACCCTTTCTGAGTGAGTCATAATATGCAGGCATGTGGATGCTAAATAAACTGTTTGAGCTGATTACAGTGTTACTTTCATCAACGCCCTGCAACGTGCCACCATCTCCCACAAAGTGCTTAGCACAGGCCGCAACCTTAGTCCTTAACCAT